CGTCCTTTTGAGATCCACCCGCAGCAGTCTACGCTCAGCAACGCAGCTGGGCGCGGTGCCACCAGGGCGCAAGTCATCCATCTCTGCTAGGCTTGGGAGTGATGACAAGCCATGATCGTGCATCCGTGGCGGTTCATGTGATTCGGAGAAGGACGCGTCCTTCTCCGCGTCGGCAGTTACACGATTTGATGCATGACCCAAGGACTCGATTCGACGATCCTTTCAACTCCCCGAGCCACCAAGTTCTCGAGCCCTACAAGCCCTCGTCCTCCCCCTGCAAAGATGTCATTCACTTGCCGCCCCCAGCAGCAACCCCTGCTGCGGAGGCCGTGGCCGCGCGGACCGAGCTCAAGCGGCCGGGGTGGAGCCGCAGCAGCTTTCCGACTGGACAGTGTCCCACCATCCGATCTGAGACGATCCGAAGTGATCTCTGACAGGAGGTGCTTGATGGGAAAGAGGCGATTGACCTCAACAAAATACCTCAGGAACCACATCATTTGCTAAGATCATGTGCGAATCTGACTCTCACAAAACTTTGCCCGTCAGTTGGCAAAGGTATTCACTGTGGGCCTCCCAGCCACACCAAGGCTGCAAAACACAACATCTTCGGCCTAATATAGCTTTTGGGAGCGCCTCATGATCCTCATGGCGGCTGTGGCCAGGTGTATCAAAGCAATGAGGCTGACTAGTAAACCCCTTTTTCAGCACCCTCCAAGTCTGAGCCTGGGAGTGTGGAGTCCCACTTCCCGTACTCCCACACCATTAGTAATGAATTCCAGGAGGTTCTTCATAAGATCTGCACCTCGTCCGTAGATAGCCATCCCTAGGCCTGCATACATCATTCCAAGCTGCCTGCCCATGGCTGAGACTGAATGCAATGGATCAAGCGGACTCTGCTGCTCACCCCGTACTTCCACCCGAGAATCGAGCTGAAAAACCAGGAAGTCTGGTCTTGAAAACTGCAGCCATGACATGTGGTTCAACAGGAAAATCTTAAAAATAACGGGTGGAACATCCACCCACGTCTGACACGTGATGATTATCCGATTTTTCTGTCGATCGAGTCATGGCTCTAAAATCCGCGATTCAAAGGTGAGCTGTACAGCACCGCAACTGCAGGTGACCTGGTGGTCCGCACTCCTTTTTTCGGGGCAGGCCGAGGTCCGGACTGCGCAGGCCTGGCAGGCAGAAGCTAGCACCAACATTTGCAGGTCACCAAAACCAAGAGAGGTTCAAGTGACCTTATAGGACCCTACTGGGGTATCTATGGGATAGTCTAAAGTCTATATATATAGGCTTCTTGAATCTCTGTTCGAACTCTTCAATGAAGCCTTCAAGATTCTAGAGAGAACAAAACGTCTTTCTGAAAAAGGCGGGTCTTGTAAGCTTCCTAATGGAAGTCTGTGAATCCTTGACGTACATCCTGTCTGTACCCAAGTTTCTGTCGAACTGTCGGCAACACCACAGCTAACTCGGCGTGTGCTTCGCTAATCAGGTGGAGGTGTGGCATGCACCTACAAGTGGAAGTGGTTTGTGAAGTTATAGCATTCTTTGAGCAAGTAGAACATGGGGCAACCCCCCCTCAATGGACAACTTTGGGAGATCTTCTTCAATACGTCACAGACGGAGGTGTCTCATACAGTACACCCCCAGTCAGAAGCGAAACCAGTCGGACCCCCAGTCGGTTCTAATGGGAGACATGCTTCAACATGGGCACCCAAATGGGAGACGCTTGACTTGAGCCCTCCCCGTTTGGGCTCCAACGTGGGACTGGGGTGAGTGCCAGGGGGGTCGAATACCACCTTCGAAACGGAGGTGGGCCAGGAGCCCTAGGGTTCTCAAGTTATGCCAATATCTGTTTATCTGTACTTCTTGGCACACAAGGGACGCCTGTCTCTTGCACCCTCCTTGGCCCCCCAAACCTTACCTTGCACACGCCCGAGAGCCGTTGTGTTCTTTTGGGGGGGGCGCGCGGCCTCTAACCGATGCAGGGGCAACAAGCAGCCAAGGTCTTCTTCCAGCGCAACATGCGGCTCACAGCTGGCTGGATCTTCGCCATCTCTTTGGAAGTTTGACCCGTGGCCTGAGCAGTGAATCATTTTCCTGCTGAGCCACATGACCAAAACCTATTTTAGGCAAACCTTATAATCAACAACACATTAACTTGGGAATTGAGATGGGTGTCATTTGGACCGTAATACATATATGTATCTCTATGTGTACATGTATATATATATATATAATTATATATATATATGCACACACCTATGAATATATTGCTTGTGCATTAAAGTAGGGAGACCTCCCAGTTCGACCCCCTGGAAAAGGAGTGAGAATAGACCAGTCTACCCATGGGTTGGAGTAAAACGACTTGCGCCACTAGCAGCTGTCCCCCGACTGCCAAACAGTGGATGAAACACACAAGTGCCGGGTCAACTTGTTTGTTTCGACTGGGCCTGTGGGTCTTCGAGGACCAATGGCACAAAGGCGGGCCCCCAAGTCAGGTGGTTTAGGGTTGGATCCCCATCTGTCTAAGACATCCTGGGGGAAACGTGCCATCGAACCTCTGAAACCACAGGTCATGGGTGCTCTATCAAGTCATGGGTACTTGGCATGGAGGGAGGGAAGCCCGAAGCCATACCCGGCCACGTCGCCTGGTCGCTACAGTGGGCCGCGGATCACGGAGGCGTTCTGGAGTAAGACTCTAAAGCATGTGTTCAAAAGATATGATCAGGCGCCCAAGGTCAATAACAACTCGTTCCAACACAAAGATACACCGTACTGTACCCATCATAGACCTCCCGAAGCTCACTGTCACCAAGTGTCATCCACGACAATGGTCATCGCAGAAAACATGGCCACCACCTCAGCCGGTCCGCACGGACTGTCCTACGTTCCACTTGGGCGCACCATTGCGGTGCAGTGCTGAACGGTGTGTGGTGGACACTCCGAAACAACCACTCGTTTGGGCTCCAAGTACCTGCTCTTTCGAAAGGTCTTTGGACCCGTTAAGCATCGTTAAACCATGTTCAACCCACCCCAGTCCCACCTGAGGTTCTGGATCCCTAGAGCCGGCCACGGGTGGAAGAAGTGGATGGCCCGGCCCAGACGACGGCATGGCCCTCCACCAACGGGCGGTTCTCCATGTGCACCGTCGATGGTGGAAGTGCACCGGTCTGGGCAAAACGGGGAAGACCCGACAGGTTTCTCCGACCTCGCAGGTGACGGGTCTATCAGATACTATCATGCAAAAGTCCCAAAGCAGCAATTCAAGAGCTGAAGCTACTGCCAAGACAAATCTTTTGGACAGCCCACTAGTGGATGAGTAGAGACGAAATAAGCTAGTCTCGCCAAGCGGCGGCTGCAGCCTCTGCTAAGACTTCTTCTCCCGCGGCCTCTTTCAAGGCCTGGATGCATCCTGAGTGGCTCGTATGGGTGGTTCAAAAGCAGAAAAATAAAAGTCCACTATACAAACTAAGTTTAAGAAAGTCTCACCAGTTTCTCAGTTTGAATCATTTCTTGTGAGCTTTCAGGGTCCATGTGACAATGTGAGTTGTTCGAAGCCAACTTCAAGAAACCCTAAGGTGTTGGGGTGAAATCGCTGGATCTTGGGGTGAAATCTCTGGATCCAAGGCTCAGCACCGTCTAGGACCTTCCAAAGTACTTCATCTTTGTACCCATCCACCGTCCAGCGATTTTCAACTTGGCCATGACCATCATGGCGGGACACAGAGTTCTTTTCATGTGTTTTCCCCCTCAGATGATCATGACATCAAGAATGTGAACACCTCCTGACACAGCTTCTGAGTGTGTTGACCCACCGAACGTCCACGAATCCGAGGTTTTTCGAGACCAAGAGACCTGGGCCCCTAATGCCAACAACTCTTGATTCTCTAGGGATCCGCATACCTTCTCAGAAGGTACGACTGGGCCCTCCAAGCCTACACACATCGTCTCCAATCACCTTCTGAGAAGGTACTTGGATCCCTAGGGATTCATAAAACCCTGTATGAAAAGGATGTTAAAATTGGGAGGCCTTATGAATCACCAGTTGGTCCATCTGGTCCCCTGCATCTATCTACCTGGGATCCAATGACTGGGAGATCGGGGCGGCATCACCAGCTCGGCCCAGCATCGGTCCACGCGCTGCTCGGGGGGTTGGATGCTGGAGTCCTTGGGCAGGCGTTCATCGGCCATGGCTTTGCCTTGGCCAATCCGGAGGGAGGGTCCCAAGGTCTGGAGGGATGGTCCCAAGGTCCGGAGGGATGGTGCAAGGTTCGGAGGGATGGTCCAAGGAATGTCTGTGAACATGGCTGTTCCAGCAGAGGTGGGTCAGAACCCTAGTTCGACTATCCTAGTTCGGTACCCCTGGTGTTCGGCCTGTGGATGGCCCAAAATCGAGACATTGGTCACACACGAAAATCAAAAAAGACGTCGGGAACTCTGTACTTACCCAAATGGTGGGTCCCGGTCCCTGCTCCCGGAGAAACGGTGTCGACTTAGTTGGCACACATCCGGAGGCAACCCAAATGTCATCTTGACACTTTCGAATTGAAGCATTGAAAGAGTACCGAGAAAAGGACTCTTGACACTCCTGAAACACGACTCTTGACATCTCATTGCACTTGACATTGACGCTCTTGAATCAGGAGTACTGAAAGCAAAACATCTTTCTTTCTCCGTCTTTGAAGCCACTTGGCCCTGAGCCCTGCAACGGTGGGCTGAAGTAGTCTTTGTGGCAATGACAGAAGGCTCAGGCATCAAACATCACACCGATCGCAGGGATTCCGGACTTTCAAGTTTGGTCATGTCTTGCGGTGACATCAGTTTTTTCCACCCACGCTGAAGGAACCCAAGTGATGACATCAGCACATCAGCGGCTGCATGTTCCACTCATTCTTCCGCTCCAAGGCACCCAAATCGATCATCAGCTGGACATGAGGATGCAGCTTATCGCCCATCAGCAGGCACATGTCTCTCATCATCACATGCCCGTCGCGTCAGAACACCTCATAGTGCAACAGTGCAACAGTGACACTTCTGTGAACAATCATATGAGGTATAGGTGAAAATGTGTGATGTGTGGACGTTTCACCGTCAAATTTGTGAGTCCTCTACCTTAAACTGTTTAAAGCAACTTCATATGAACTTGTTTGCACTTCCTCAGCCATTGCTCTAGCCAGTAGCCATGCACAACAAAAATATACAACAAGAGCGCCAAGAGCTGGTGCTCAGTTTCCAACACCCGTCCGTCAGCAGCATTTGGGATCAACGGTCAATGGCGCTAATCCAACAAACCAAGCAGAATGGTTAAGAAAGCACATAACAAACAGCACTCAAACAGCATATATCTTTTGTTGCTGTTGTCATAGGCCGTCATATCCAAGAACGTGAATGGTAGTGTTGTCATATGTTGTGCATGACCGTTGGCGTGGCAAACTACTTTTGGACACCAGCACCCGGATATGTTGATTGATTGTGTTACCTGTTGTCATATCATATGAGTCATATGCATGTCTTTATGTAGCTGCGGCGGAGCACGATACAACGCTCAAAGCACAGTGACAAAAACACATGGCTCCATAGACTGCTACAACTACAAGTACGATCCAAGCAAGCCGGGATCAAAAAAAAATTGTATAGAACATTATATATAATATATATATATATATACAGATCCGAGTTGATACATGTATATAATTATAGAAATTAATGCATTAAATACATCAAATAACAACTTCCCTGCTTTTCGGTGCTCATTCTCCCCACAAACAGCCCGCCCCAGGCAGTTGCTATACGTCTCTTGCATGTCCCACTTCTTCCTTCCTTCCAAGCCACACAATGGATGCCAGTGGTATAGGCCGAAGCCACAGATTCCATGTCAGCACGGGAGATCTTTTGATTCCAACCCGAAATCTTCGTGATATTGGAGTTCCTATGCGGCGAGCGAGCTGTCGCAGCTGTCGCCGTGCGAACACGATTAGATCTTGCGTCTGTCACGAGATTTCGCGAGCTCTGGATTCCATATGGGTCTCTGAGCTCTGTCAGGGCTCACTATATGTCCTCTATAAACATCACTTTGAGCATCTCTTCTACAAGTTCAGGCATACTAATGGCAACTTCAGACTGAAGTCGTTTCCAGTCGGTGGCCCCACAGGTGGCTTGGCTTAGACACAGTGACGTGAAGCAAAAGGCGGCGGAATGGGCCAGACCGGCAGTCCCCTCGCAGGAGCCGCGGAACAAAATACAAAACAACCCAATATCCGACCGAGTTATACCTGGTTGTGCTTCTGGGCAAGCTACCTCCAAACTCCCCGAAAAAATCCAACAGGGCTCTTGTGCGACATGACGAACGCACCTTTGGCCGGCAGTCGGTGGTGGCAGGTTTGCTTTGAAACAACACACCACGCAGGAAATTTCATGGGCACGCTTCATGATTCATGACTCACATGTTTGATCATATGTTTGTTTTTGTGTTTGTGTGTCTGGGCATTGCAAAATTGCTGTATGTGTACTGACCCCCGTGCCGAACAAACGATAGCTCTTGTGGCCTGCTAAATGTCTGAGAGTGCACCACTACCTGGAGGATCCTGGAGGTTCTGCACAGGACCTCTAACGCAGGTACCTCTAACCACTCAATCAGTACCAAACGCAAACCTTGAACTCTGCCGCTGGAGGGATCTGGTTGCTGCCCCGACCGACCAACGACCAACGACGGTTCATGGCCGAGGCTCGGTGGATAAGCGACAAAGCTCCAATGGAACCACGTGTAAGCCGTAGTCAAGGCCAGCTCCTGCGGATGTTGAGCATCTGAGAATATACTGTAGTGGCTTCAGAGTAGATGGTGCAACCCCCCAGTTAGGTGGTTTACATGGACCCCCATCCAAAAGACATCTTGGGGCCGGAACCACTGTGATCCTCCAATGCATGCCAAGGCCCTAGGAGTTGATCTCTAAACTTTAAACGTTGCAGTACAAGGACTGGCCCTGGGACTGACCTCAAAGCCTTATTTTAAGCATGTGTGGAAATCAACACAAGGGGTCAAACTATTGGACTCTTGTAGGTCCCTCACAATGCAGAACTCAGTTCGTCCAATAGGAAGGGTATCCGGAAGGGTGAACAAGCTGGTTCTTCTTGCAAAAAAACACGTGTGACGCGCGTGAAAACAGGTGCCAAAGGCCATGGCCAAGGCTCCCATTTGCTGTTCGGGCTTTGACCCGCGCTCATGCCAGCCATGGTCTCGTTCCTCTCCAGACCCAACCTGGTGGGCGGCGCAGTCGTCGGTGTCGCCGACTTGAAGGCACTATGCGTATCACTCGACGTGACACCAGTCGAGTGATGTAAAGACCGATGGAAACTCATGGGCTCCTGTTTAGGGTTTAGGGTTTAGGGTTGAAACATTTATGGAAAACATCCAACTGGATGGGGGGGGAAAACGACCCAAGACCAAGAGATGATAGCTTGTTGATGTTCAGGGGGCGCTAGGCGCCTGGCGCCGTTTCGGCCGCAGGGGTCGATCCGGGTCGAGGTCCAAACGGTGCAGCCGGGACACTTCTTGTATACGTCCAGGTTCACGTCCTTCCCCTCAAAGCCTGAGCATCCAGCTGGGCGGCAAAAGAACAAGAAATCAACGATGCTGGCCTGGAAACGGCTTCCAATTCCTGGCATTTTGGACAAACCAAAAACACCAACAACCACCATTTAGGACCTGTCCGGACATCCTGAAGAGACCTGCTTGCTTGGGGCGACCAGTCGAAGCTTTGGTTCTTTCGCTGCGAAGAGGAAGTTCCAGGGCTCCAATGGAGTCACATCCGGCGAGTTATGGTGTTCCAATGGTTGAGTCTCCCTGGTGTGCGACGATCCCATCGAACCTGGAACCTGAGTACACCCCTGGTTGGTAGAGGAAGGGAGAGTCTTCCATGGGACTATGTCAGTCAGGGTCGACATGTGAGTGGACTCGGGAGTGTAGCCTCTAAGAAACATGGAAGTGGATAGACTCCCATGAGCCCCGCTCGTGTTTGAATTCTGCAATGTTCCACCGCTCTGAACGAGACCAATTGATGAACGAGACCATTAAAGAGTGTCCACGCTTTTTGCGTCGAAAAACCGTTGAACCAATTCTCGTCCAATCCCTCACCCGCCCATGCACCCATTCACTTTAAACATAAAGCCGCCCAACTCCTCTGTAATCAATGACTGGTATTATGACGCATAGTTGTCGTCCTAACGTACCCACAGGTTGGTTGGTTCAGTTACTTGGCTGGAACTTCCTTCCGTTGCTCCAGGCAACGCGGTCCCCAGGCAATCTCTGCATCCCAATGAAGGCCACTGGAGCAAATCTCCCGCACACGGCTGAAGAGCGGAGGCCTTCGAACGCGAGGTCCGTGCGGTGCAAACCAGTGCACCTATGAATCAACCCATGAAATCACTACAAGTGGATGGTGAGCTAACCAAAGGTTGAAGAAACCCATAGATTATCCCATAGGAACTGCAGCTTGCGGGTCCAATAAGGTCACCTTCACCTCTCTTGAAAGGCCTTCAAACAAAACAATCAACAACAATACGACCATGCGCACGACCCATGAACATCCAACCGCAAAGAGTGGTGAGTAAAGGCCTTGTCCAAACAGAATACAACAGAACCGTGCTCGCCCTTGGACGGGGACCACCAGCGTGACCCTCTCCCACAACTTTTCTTGGGTGGCAAAGGAAGTCAAAACCAAAGGTTCAATGTAATGTAATCTCTTCAGGGAGTGGTGCATTTTGACACTTTACGGTTTGCTATGTGGTTCATTTTGACACTTGACGGTTTGCTATGCTGCATTCCTTCCCCATGTCCAAATCTCCAAGCCACTGATTGTCTGCCAGTTCTGGTAGCTTCGGCATGGGTCGGCCACTGGCACGGTGGTAGGCACGGACGCCCACAGCAGCGGCCACCACATCGATGAACTCACCTTCAGTGAGTTGTGGGGGGGGGGGAAAGGGACAGGGCATGGTGCAAGACCTCAGAAGAGCTTCCCCCAAAAACGTGGTGAATCTATGTGAATCTATAGTAATTAGATGCATATACCTTGTCCCCCAAAATAGACCGAAAAGTAAAACCCCTTTTCAAACTGTATTGGACCATGGTGACACTATGTGGGGACCAGGTACAGTAGGGTTGTTTGTAGGGTGTGTGAACCACGCGTCGTCTCACCGGTGAACCACGTTTCCGACGTGGCACCGTCCAACCCAGGTGGACATGCAAGGGGTGGGAGTGGACACACCGGAAACCCTCTAAGGGGCTATGTTATAAGTGTATATACAGAATATATATGTTTATATATTATATACCTAGAACCCATTTGATCTCTATGTTTGGTAGGAAAACCATATGTTTGGATAGTTGAAGGGTCGGTGTACCATTGTTGTGGCTTAGGTTGTATCTGTTCCATCGTCAGTCCTCCCAGTCCTTTCATCCTACTCTGAACCATTACCCTTGCCTCCGCACAAAGACGAATGCATTTCTCCTCCTTGAGTTCATCACCCTGGAGCTGTTCCAAACCTTCAGGAAGCTCCTTTGCCTCGATCAATGCGTTCCACAACACATCGGCAGCCTCGAAGTACCACTCTTTCTTCAGCACATGCCTCACTCACACAGCAGGCACCACCACTAGCAGGCACCACCTGTCGATCCTTTTGGGCCCCCGTCGTGCCAAAGGCCAACCTCTCCACAAGGTTGGAAGAGGAAATGGGAGTCTGAATGCCAGTTGGCATAAACCCAACGCGGTTGCAGCTTCCTCGCTTCAATGATACTTTCAGAGTCATTGCAAACAAACATGTTTGATTCTCTGCGTCTTTGGATGTATCATTAATATGTTTGACCAACACAACAACGCGAGCTCCTTCATCTGGCATCCCCAGCAGTGCTAATGAACCAGTGCTAATGAGACATGTTCAGGGCATGGTGGACATGACTGGGACTGGGGTGTTGAAGACTCTTGTGACCTTACTGGGCAAGACATCGATGCCAAAAAGCATCCCAGGACGTCCAACCGTCAAACCTAGATGGGTGATGGGTCCTGGGTCATGGCACCCGTTTCGTTCGCCCGTTTCACTCTGGTAGGTCAACGTCTCCCCGGTTCGGTCGACCCTTCTCTTCATATGTCAACGGTGGGAAAAACCAAGGTCCAGCTTTTCGACCGCCAGATCACAAGGAATTGACACCAATTGTTACAAGGAATCGCCAGGGCAAGGTGCTGAAGGTTGGCAAAGATGTGCACTAGGATGCCAATGTTGGTCTTCCAGTTCTCCTCATTGGTGTCAAACATGCCAAGGTAGTTTTCATGGACGACGAGTAGTTTTCATGCACCCCGACTCCTGTTGCCCATGCAGATGCACCCATCCGAATCCGGTCTTCGGAAGACTCTCCAGAAAGAGAGAAGCACAACACCATGTGATGCCTTCGTCAAAGCATAGCGGCGTAGATGTTGGATCCCAGAATGCCCCCAAAAAAAGTTGTACAAAACAGCAGCACAACTAGCAGCACATGAAATTTAAGCATTACATAGCATTACATCAGTACCAGTAATAAAACCACCCTACCTAGCATGGTCTTGCATCTCCGTTTGGAGAGTTTGATTCATCAACGGTACACACACACACACCCTACACCTTCGCAACCGGGACCTGGCCGGGGATGCTTCGTTCTTCAGACCGCGGCGACCGAGGTCCCGCGGCCTCTCCTGCAGATCTGCGTGGAAGCTGTGCTCCTCGGTCCGCTAGTCCAACGGAAGAAGAAGCACCGAAGATCGATCGCGCCAAGTTGAGAACGGACACCGGTGGATTTGTGGTGAGCAACTCATCATGGTGGGAACACCAACTGATATCATAGTGGGAACACCTGATCCTCCACTGATCAACCAGCTGAGCAGCTGAGCACCTGGTGGAACCCAGCAGAGCCCAGCGCCCAAGGGCGTTCAGAGAGGGGTCCATTCCTCTGAGCAGCTTCTGTTGGGTGGGTTGATTGTGAGCCAATCGAATCTATGTACACTCCCTGGAAATACCCAATGGAAGTGGATGGAAAAAGGCTCTGGAGACTCGGATGACCATGACATCTGAAAATCAGTCACGTCAATCGAGTTCGCTGTCGGTCGGCAGGTCTGGCGGTCACCTGGTCTCTCCACCATCAGGTCCTCTAGATGTCTTCCACTCAAATACACATGGGGGCTCAGCCGGCTCTCGTCTAAGGGACGTCGACCAATTAAAAGCGTACTTGTAGAATAAACCGTGTCCCTGCGCACAACGAAAAGTTCATATCAGCAGCAACTAGTCAAAGGATGTCAAAGGCATCAACAAGCTTTCATTGGATGCTAAGTCTTGGTGAATGGTAATTGTTCGACTGCGCCCGTCTTGAATTGGTATGACAAACACATTCACATGTAGACCTCTACCAACTGAGAATGCTGGTCTTGAACATGCACCTGAAAAAATCACACAAGGCCCAAACCAATATACCTGCAACTACTGTAGGGGGACCCTCATTCCAGACCCTCAGTAGTTGGGTGATGTTGGGGGTCATGGACAACACAAGCAAGGACATTCCAGCCAAGCCCAGGCTCGATGGCTAAGACATCGGCAAAGGTCTTCACCTTCTTCTCACGGCCAGCAGCCTAGGCCCAACCCTGACTCCGGTCGCGAGTGGCCGCGGCAGTAGAGGGTCTGCCACCTCAAGGAACCCCAAAACAGCAACTGACTAAAGGAAGAAGGCTGGAGGTCCACTGGAGGTGGATTCCTCTCCTGGTCCTGGTCCTGTACAGTCGGTGCAGCACCAGCGGCAACAAGCTGCAGGCAACCTGCCGCGTCGAGGCGCGCGAGGTGAGCGACGACTGTGGCCAGCAGCGGCGCCGTGAGAAAATGGTCCTGTGATCCATCTGCATGAATCAACAATGTCATACCCCCAGAGAAACATGGACCCTGGCTCCCACCAGACTCTGGCAGCAAGAAGAACACCGTGAAATCCAATTTTTCCCGTCTTGAGGCACCAAAACCAAGATCGAGCTCTCAAGGCACTTCATTAAGTCACTTCATGTTTGATATGTTTCGGGGTCGTCTTTGAATCTTTGAAGTCGGGCCTAGCCATCCCGATCCTCGAGCCAATGCGCACTGAAAAGGAATTAAGGCATTAAGGATTTGTCCCAGTTTTCTCCACCATGATTCATCTGATGACACTTTGGTGCACCCCTCCCTCCAAGCTCTCCGCCCACTTCCACAAAAACGACTCCGGAGAGCGGAGCTCGTTTTTGGGGCCTTCGCAGCTGGCCACACATTCAAAAGCTTCGAGGACGATCATGCACCGCAGGCGGCTCCAAAGGAAGTCGCCCTGGCACTTGATGGCGACTGTGGAGGTTAGCCGGTGGCCGCTGATGGCCAGCAGAAATGCAAAGTAAAAGCCCAGAGTCTTTGAGGGAATGATCACTTGAGCTGGGGAGCGCTGAATCACATGGAAATGCGCCCATGTGCAGAGGACCACATGGACCAACATGCTATAATGTAGACATGTCCAATTCAAATTGGGGGGTTATTCATCAAGAGTCTACATGCCAGGACCTTCAAAGTGACCTCATTCTAGGATCTCAAAAGGTCACTTTGAAATTCCTGGTGGTTGTTCTTTTCTTAATCCCTGTTTCTTGTTCGTTTGGTCTAGTTCCCAGGGTCCCACCAGGGATGGAATCTGAGGACTGGCTGCACAGAACTACGACTTGCGAGGTTTTCGGCGCGGAAAAGACGGCTTCCTATTGCCATACCCTAGGGATCCACATACCTTCTCAGGAGGTACTTGGGATATGAATATCAATACGGGATATGAATATCAATATTAGTTACGATAGGTTCTATATATATATATGCCAATTATGCCATCATATTCCTATTGCTGCAGTTGCTCCATCCATCATACTGGCACGTAGCTTGATTGATGTTTGTCATTGCTGCTTGCCTGGGACGTAGTGATTCACCACAGAAAGACATCTCGAAACTCAAAACAGCAGTTCTTCATCCCAAACAGGACTCCCCCAAAGAATCACCTTGACATGCTTGCTTCGCCCAAACCTGGCCTAAGTGGTCTAACATGGTCTAACAACAAGCCAACTTACGCAAGCAAGCCATGGCAGCCATGGCAGTCTTCTGAACACCAAGATGTTCGCCCGGAAACTGCCTGCAGGCGATTTCTGACCAAATCCCCTATGCCCTGCGGCCGTTTTCCGGCAAAAGCTAGAGCTCCTCCCACGACGCGTGGTGCGCGTTGCGCGGCGCGGGGCTCCTGACCACAAAGCTTGTGCAGTAGCTTCTCATTGGCCTCCTGCATGGCCTCGATCTTACCTGTGGACGAAAGGGGGGTAACGGGCAAATGGATGGCAGTCGGCCATGCAGGGCCTGCATGGGAAAGGGAATGAGTCGAGGGGGATGTCCTTGCTCTTCTAGTAGTGCTCGTATCAAGAAGGCCAAATCTCAAGGGCTGTGCCAACCACTTGGACAGTGCCCAATGGACATGATCTCCCTTGCAGCCAAGGTGGCAACGAGTGTGATAAAGGAACAAAACCACCTACCAAGCATTGCCAAAACAATATTCTGGCTTCATTGCCAACGAATGGCCCCTATGGTTTTGGATGAATTGAACGCCCCTCAGCCCCCTGGTCCTTTTCCAAGCGGCTTCCACCTTTCTTGGCCATGGCGGACGGGCCCGGTACTGGCCCCACGACGGCCCCCCTCGCTCGAAGCCAACTGCCGGGATCCAGCTCCGTCTCCAGGCGTGGGTTGGTTGGCGTTGGCCCCAAAATGCTTTCCAAGCCTTAGACGCACCTTGATGGACCGAAACTGAACAGAACAGACTACAATACCTCAACACGCCATGCGACTAAACACGTGTGCTTACATTGACCCCTTAGAAACAAACCGCCCCAATGTATGGCTGGCAGCCAGTCGGATGTTGGCAGCCAGAGCCTACCCAATCATGGATGACCAACCGGTGAGGCATCTGGTCCATCTGCTCATGGTCACATGGCTCAGGGAAATGCTGAATGTCAGTCAGTCACTATAGTGAAGGTCAGTCGGTCCCTGTCGTAAAGATGACGAACATGCACAATTGTGATGATTCTGGAATCCTGAGTGCGTTCCAACCAATCATCCAATTACACGAATTTGTCTGCAAACATGCTGTTCAGGGGACGTTGGAGTTGGAGTTGTAACCTAGTAAGGCTACCAACTTGCAAGGATAAAGTCCACTGCATATTTGATGGCCCAATCCAGCACCCTCCCAGTCGTCTCTTTTAATTAGTGGGGTTCGTGCTCAACATCCACCCTTGGTAGCGAAAAACATGACACATGATCCATCAACCAACCCCTAGGGATCCAGTCGTACCTTCTCAGAAGGTGATTGGAGACACTGTTATGTAGGTTTGGAGGGTCCAAATACCTTCTGAGGAGGTACTTGGATCCCTAGGGAAACATCAACCAAACTCACCTTAATCAACATGGCCTCTTCAAGAAAGACTTCCCGTAGTGACAATGCTAAGGATTGCCACCGACCCAAACATCTGCAACTTATGATTTTATCGGGGTTCAACCTTTCCAATGAGGTCCTACCAAGCTTGTATGTAGACTCATTGATTAAACACGATGATTCGATGATTTTAACACTTCTTCATATGGCTGGGGCTGTTAAATCAAGAGCCTATACAATGTCGACCGACGGGTCAACCAACCCCTCGGTGTCGGGCAGGCGATACTGGCAGTCGTTCACCATCTGAGCCTCTGAGAGCACAGCCGACCGCTCCTGGTAGCCGCCAACAAAAACGAAAAGGAAGAACAATGAATCAAACGAAGGAATCAATATGAATCTTGGCAGCCCGGAAGGAATTCACAGCCCCAATCAACCTGAATCAATGTTTAGGAATCCAATATGTAGGAATCAATATGAATCAATGATTCATTCTCCAATCGCTCTCACTTTCTGGGATTCACCTCAGGATGTTAAGAGATACTAAAGATGGGTAGTTAACTACGAGTCACTGGAGTCACTGGAGTCCCTGGAGTCGCCGACGTCGCCGATCTGTTTCAGGAAATGGTCTTGAATCCCTGATGCTGGAACCCATCAAGGCCTCACGTTTTTCTTTGTTCTTGTATGTAAACAGGGGTTTCAACTTACCACTCACTGGGTAGGTGTGGAGCTTTGAGTACTGAGTACCTCTCAAAGATCATAGACGGTGTTCCCCGTATACTCAGCGAACTTATCAAAATGCACTGGCCACAGAAGCGACACGCACCGCGTGGTAGGAGATGAGCCGAGCCGAAAGGGCCGAAGAAAGCGTGTGGTGAAGATAGCGTTGGTATGATTTTATATAGATATATGTCATGTTTACTTTTGATACCCAACCAAAAATCTACAGTATGTTGAAGTGGTTTGTGCCAACTTGCTGGGTCTCAACATTTATGGTAATTACTTCCTTTTTGGTGTTGTTTGATGTTTCGATTGGAATCAAACATGCATAGAGGGGGATTGATGGGAAGGATGCAAACGACTTGATCAATGTGATGGTCAATAATGGCTAACCATGATGGCCGGTTGGCTGTGATGGTGGGTAAATGCTCGCTAAGTGGCCGTATTTGGGGTACACTGCGGGTTCGGGTGCAAACAATAAAGCAAATTGACATACTATATATATATATATATAGGGTTGGTAGAGGAAAATAATAGTCTTCCATGGGACCATTGTCAGGGTCTATGTTAGTTTTCAGGAGTGTATGATTACACATCATATCACATCCACTATCACATCCATATGAGTGGTCGTTGTTGTTGCCGCTGCTGTTGTTTTGGGCGAATACAATGTGGAACAACATGGGGTAGTCCGCGATGAGTCCGAACCGAGTCCGAACGCATGAGGGGCGCAGAAGAGTTCCCTACAGATTCTGTAGAATGTCTTTGGACATTCCAATGAAGTGCTGCAGGCAAACGCAAACACACTAGAATTGCATGTAGGGGCTACTGTAGGGGCCCCCTATCCCCACAATATCCATGCCCATCTCCTTCTCCACACGCTCTGGTCGGAAAGCCGGCTGGAAACCTGACTCAAACGCTGGTTATTTGGAGATCCCAGGTTAAGGCTAAGGCGTCTCTCCCGTCAGACCGCGAGACCAACCAACAATGCTTGGTTCTCCCAGAACACCATCAGAAAAAAACGCTTGAATAAACCCGATATACGTCGAAGATAGAAACAACATGAAACGACATTCATCCACCAAGTAAATCATCAAAGCAGCAAGGGGCTTATGCATCCATGAATGAAACCTGCAATCGAACTGTTACCAATTGGTTAGCCTCCCTCCAACAACAATGGAAGTGGAACATGGCCGCTTGGAAAGACCATGAAATCCTCTACAAACAGGGGGTGAACTCCACTTCCGTGCTTGTTGGAGGGAGGCTAGTCCTTTGCCCATCTCAAGCTAAGCCTCAGACACACATCTGCAAGAACCTGCACCAAAGGCGGTGAAGCAAAAAAAACAAAGGTCCTGTTGATGGTAATGCTGCTTGAGCGACCTTTTCATTTCATGCATGACAACAAGAATGGCACGTATAGTGCTATTATATATAGCAATATATATATATATATGAAATATATATACATATATATCATACTATATCATACTATATATAGTGCTTTCCGAAAATGGGTGTATATTGGAATTCCGGATCCCGGGGTTTGGGTCTCATGATTCGTCGAATGTTCCTTCCGACGGGGCTGGTCTGGTGTCGCTGATCGTCATGGCACCCCCTGCGATATGGATGAAGGATGGGGACGGACCGACCGACGGACCTGGAACAAGGCATGGGAACATGCATACCTTTTGGTCCAAGAAAGTATGAACCAAACACATACGCCTTCAGTCTCTGGTGACGCCACTCTGCCCGGTTCTGCCCTGGGCTCTGCCCTGTTACCAACCCACCTGCTCAGCACGGCTCAGCACTGCTGTTGAACCACTTCCGTCCGACTGTCGAAACGCCTTGAGGCCCTCTGGCAAATGCTCCGAGCCGATGTTAACGTAGTAGACCTGCGCGTGCGTGCTTCGCGCGACTTGGAAGCGGGATGAGCAGCAGGTGAGCTCCGAAGATCTCATGTCTTCCACTGCTTCGAACATATCGAACATATCTTCCAAAGAGAAAGGGGTGAATCCAGTGACTTGGTGGTACTTTCAAAAGGCTCTTCCTCCAACCGATCTGGTCTTGGACTAGGAGTTGGTCCGAACATACAGAGGGAATCTGTTGGTCTCCCACTGAAGTGAAGCTCCACGACTGGCTCCTCAAGTCTTCTCACGTTCCAGGATCAGTCCTAATCTCCAAAGCGTGAATGGCTTAGGGGCCCACCCACATGGGCCCACATGGGCATATGCTTGTCTCCCCAGCCGCCCACCCACATGGGCGTCCACCTACCAGAGCCTAACAGAGCCTTCATGAATCTTCACTCAATGGATTTATCTGGATTTATCAATAGATTTACCTTTGCTCGATGGATTTCGAAGCAAACGCATGAAAACACCCTACAAGACCTAATATAGGTCATTGGGGCTTCAGAATTTGGGTCCCATGTTGTCCATCAATTGCAACCTCTCTCACGCGGCCAGCGGTCGAAAATGGCCCGAAACCCGGAATGACTCAACTTCATGACTGAAAACTCTACACTCCGACTAACACGGGACAAGTGGAGTTCACCCTGCTTCTAGGGAAACGTCAACAAAAGGTGCCATCCACGTAACCATGTGATGTGTGAGTGATTGTGAGTGTATCATACCAGGACCATCCGAAGCGAGTCCAACAGAGATGCCCAAGCAACTGCTGTAGTAAGCGAGACCCGTCTAGCCCTGACTGCCTGGGACCTGAGGAGATCCAACCCTGCTGAGATTCCGCTCACCTCACCCCTGCAGCCCTTTTAATGCCCTCACACGAGGCCGCCGCCAAAGGAAAAAACACCCACCCCAGCCGTGTGGTTGAAGTCGGTGCATGCGTTGCTGGTCATGCCTTGAGTCATGGCCAGGACTGATCCCTGTAGGATCCCCCAAACACTATAGTGGATTGAGAGTAGATGGCACAACCCCCAAAGGCGGTTTATATGGACCCCCTAAAGGACATCATGGGGTCTGTGCCATCTACTCTGAAAGCACTGGAACATGGAAGTGGAAAAGCACCCCGTTCGTAATCAAGTAGTCTTGCAAGGGACCATGCCATCCACTTCCATTTGACGTGTTCGTCATAGTGTAAGTCTGCCTGTGTGATTGGAGGGGCCTGGGTCTCGTCTGAGATGTGACCAGTGACCCGGATCTTCCAAAAGGGAAGGGCGGCGTATATCCAAGCTTCGCATGGTGTCATGGCTTAGGTGGACCCGAATTCACTTTCCTGCTTTAATCACCCTTTACCAAAGGCTATAGATTTGTACATCTGTTTGACCACCCGTCCTGTCCGGGCAAATACTTCATCAAAACAGAAGAGGTTGGCTGGGGACGTGATTCCGAAGAGGTTCCACCAGTATCCATCAGCTTCCTCTGTCGGTGTTTTCAGCTGAGAGTGGCCCTTTGTCCCCCGCCACCCAATCGATGTAGCGCTGAGGGCTCCCGTCCCAGGCCACTACTCTGCAGCTCCATGCGCTTCTCGCTGCCCAGGAAGCAAATCTCGGAAGGC